TTTCTTGAAGAGAAACTGACATTTGTTGGCTAGCTAAATGCATGGACAAGTTTTAATTTTTTCATTTAAAATGATATATGCAGCTTTCATCTTTGAAAAATAATATTATTAAATTAAAAAAAAAACTAAAGCAAAATGATGTTTTACTAACTCATATGTACAACATTGTTGTACATTATTCATTAAACGACTTCATTTTAAGTCTTTTGGTGTGAAACGATGTAATTTTTAAAAAAGAAATTAGTGATTTTTTCCACTTTATTCCGCTTTGAATATTGAAGGAAGAGAGAGAGGGAAGGAGAAGGAAAGAGAGAAATCTAAGATGAGATGTGGACACATTATTATCTAATAATATTGGTGTTTATGTGTTTGTCTTCATGATAAGAGTTAATCTCTCCTCCTAGCTTAGTTAGTCTTTAGATTGTGTAGGGGCAATTAATCTTTCCATATTTTTTAGCACAATAGAATTACAAAGTTGCCCCTAAGAATTAAAAAAAAAAATTATGTTAGAGGCATTTTAGTCTTTTTATTTAATATGTTAGAGGCATTTTAGTCTTTTTATTTTTTTAAAAAAAACATTTCAATGACTTTATTACCCCTAAAGATAAACTCCAATAAGCTCTCTTTCGATAGCTTTTTGGTCTTTTTACCATGGTTTTTTTGGTAAATATCAATGATACTCAAGAGCATTTTTGTATTTAAATATTATTTTAAAAAACATTGTTTACACCTACATGGCATATACACGTGAATGGACACCACGTGTAAGGCTGTTCGATCACCAAATGTTGTCTTCCACGGGGTTTCAAGTTAAGATTCAATCAAAGACTTGTTATTGCCTATTTTGGAGCCCTACATAAACAAGAAAATACAAAAAAATACAAAAAGAATAAAAACTACTAGAAAAAATCACAAAAATATATTAGTAAAAAGAATATACTAGAACATCCAGGAAATTATTGAAAACTGCTCGAGAAAGATCAAAATATACAGGAAATTACCCACGCTAGGTCTTTATGTCTTTGAATATATCTCCATAAAAGTATTTATGATGAGATCTTCATGTCTTTAAAAGTGTCACCATTGGATCTTTATATCTGTCTCAATTATCTCCAAAAAGATTAGGGATGTTTTTTAAGTCTTCATAATCGCTTGTCTCTAAAAGAATAAAAAATCCTTCTCTAGAAACAATGACAAAAATTTACACAAAAAGAATTCTCATGCAAACAATTTATAAGACATAAAAACACAAACATTCATATACCTAATCACTGTGATATTCTTTTAGCAATGACACGTGATATTCATACTATAAGTATTTTATTTCCTTCAATTTTGTTAATTAAGTCTTTCAAAAAATATCTATGTAAAATACTTGAACGGATAAATGATATTGCATATGTTTACAAAAGGAAAAAATAAAGAATAGTAACTTGATATTTTATGCAAACATGTGTCTTCTATATTGATCAATAGTTATTTATAGTCATTGAATTATTGACAATCACCCACTTCTTCACCAATAAAGGGCTAGGCACTACTATTGATGGAGGCACCAACATTTCAATCAATATATAGTTATTCAAATCTCAATGTTCCAGGGTGAGTTGATGTAAACCAGGTTTGTAAATAACTAGAGTTATCAAGTAAATAAGAGGGTTCTTATATTGGACATTTTCAAATTCATTAAATATTTTCTTTACATATTTTTTTTTCAATTCTTTCATATATTATTTTTTTTATACACCTATTTATTTAAGCTTCAGAGAGTCCTTTATTCCATAAAGATTAAATTTTTAAGGAACAATAAAGCTCATAACTAAGCTTAAACATCAAACTCATATATCTTGACCTATAAGCATGGTCATGGAAAGCTTATTTTTTGTGTGAAATTTTTTCACTGCCTTATTAGATATTAATTATTTGGATATATCTAGTGTTTAAGAATTTATTATTCTTTAATTATTTAATTTATTTAATCATATTTTATTTATAATTATAATTTATATTTAGGCCAACTTATTAAGAAATACAATGGGCCACACACATAAAAACCATTGGTAATAAATTAAAATAAGATGATTAATCAAGTGACTTAATTGTAAATAAATTTTAGAAATTGAAAACTATAATGAAATTAATATAGAAGATCACAACTTTAAACCTAGAAGCAATCAAGTAGGGAATTGATTGAATAAATTTTTAAAATTATTATAGAATATCACATGTGATATTAGTTAAGGGGATAAATTGATATTTTATCATTTATATAGTTTTTAGATTTTTTAATAAATAAAAAGTTATGTCTTTTATTTTTTTAACAACAAAACAATACAATATAGAAACAAACACCTAACCATAAAAAAAAAAAAAAAGAGTTAACACTCAAAGGTGTAGCAATCTCTCTTTTTTCAACTTATTTATAATTTAAGTGAATTGTCATTAAAGATCAGACATTTGAATAACTTATGATTTATAAAAATTTAATTTTAAAGTAATTATTCAAGATAAAAAAAAACATTTAATCTTCACGTAATCTTTATATAAATTTTAAACAACTTTAAATTAATATAAAGAGATCCGTGAGACTCCTGCGAAATTTTGTATGCATTTCAGGAAACACAACATGTCTTTCTCCACATAAAATCCTATCTTCTTACACTATTGCTCAAGATAAATCTCTTAATGGTAAGAAGAGGTTTGGAAATGACACTGCTTCTTTCACTTTCACTATATGTTCTTCCTCTGCTAAAAAGAAGCAGCAATCTTTTATTTCATATAACTCATAATTGTTAAACTCCCCCTGGCTATTCAATTAACTCAGAAAACTTAGGATCTAAAGCTAGACTTAGCTATGTTTTTAGTTGAACTAGATAAAATATTGACTTGAAAAATTAAATTGACCTGGCTGAGTTTTTTATGGTTTAGTTAACTCGATTAAACTTTACCATTTTAACACTAAATTAAAAAAGAAAAGTTATGGTTTAGTTAACTCGATTAAACTTTATCATTTTAATACTAAATTAAAAAAAAAAAGAAGGAAACACTGTCGTTTTAATAAAATTTACCTAGGTGAATCCGATGATATGTAAGTTATAAGTTGATTTGCTACTTGCTGACTCGAGATCTTCAGGTTAGTCTACGGATCGGGTCCTGACGACAAGGATATGAAGCATACTTGCTGCTGTCAAACCAATTAGTACCATTCAGTGATGATGGCACCAAAAACTAAGTTTCGTACAGCTTGTACAACCTTAAAGAGAAAAAGATCATGCAAAAAAACAAAAAAAAACAAGTGGTTTCTCCCCGGCGACATGGAGAATCTGTTGCCAGAGGACTCTGATTTGGTTGCTTCTTCTTATAGCTGGCTTGCGTACCTTAGGTCCAGTGACCTATATGATAGTATTGTCCGTAATGATATTTATCTCAGAAATCCCTCCTTTACTTGACACTGTTCTAAGATTTCCTGGGTAGGCAAATATCATAGTGGAGGGAAAGACTGCTTGGTCCAATGCCCAAGAATTCTTATCTCATTCCTTCGACTTCAGTGCACATGGTGTCTGCATTGATGACAACGAGAGAGTTTGTTTCAATCCTGATGGTGGTTCTTATTCGGATATAATGTATTTCAGCTAACGAGGACAATTCTTTGGTTTGCGCGAGGGATATATGATTATGGCGATGAAGTGCTGTATCAGAAGCCTGGGTTTGCTGTGGTTTTGAACCATGATGAAAACATTTTTCAGCCCTCGGAAACCAGACAATAGTCGGATAATAGGAAAATATTTAGACGATCATACTCTGTTTTTGAGTAATAGCGATAGATTTGCTCTGTGCACTCGTTACTATACATAAGCCAAAAGTAATTCTATTTACTTTATTGATAGTGAGGATGATGTTGGAATCTTCAATTCCAGCATTGAGAGAATTCTTCTAATGGCAAAGCATTCGCGATTATGGCAAAGAATGGTCACCTCAGATAAAACGGCCTCTGCTTTGGCTAATGGTTGATATTGGTGCTATGTGGAGTGAGGATGACACAAGCTAGCATGCGTACATGATCTGAGAATGTGGCATAAAGAGATTCATTTCCAATACCTATAAGGTCGGAAGTAATGGTGTCTGGAAAAGAAAAGTCCGATGAAAGACACCTTAACTTGCTAACAGTTTGTAGACCTACAGTCAGTTCCAGCCACTAAATCTTCCCAATATAGAATCGGTGCCACCTGCTGGCCATAAACTAACGCAGCTGCTTCAGCTTCATTCACAGATTTTGTGGCTGTATTCTCTTATATGCAGAAACCATTGGTTGTCACTCTGAGTCTAATAACGATACAAACTCTTTTATGCTCATCTTCTAACATTGTAGCATCTGAACTGAATCTGTAAATGCCTTGTTGCGTTGGCTTCCATCTGCCACTTCTCTTATGGATTTCTCACAGGTCCATCTTCTAGTGTTCTGCTGCAGTTGTTTTGAAGCATATCCATGCCGATCATCTTATTTTGTGCCTTCCAAACTGTCCAAGCAACAGTTTCAACTGCTTCTCAATCCTTGAGAAGCTAGCTAGAATTTTTTTCGTCATGTTACTGTTGCCCCATAAACTGTCCAAGCAACAGTTTCAACTGCTTTCGTCATTTTACTGTTGCCCCAAAATGGATGCTTCAGTTTTTTAGCCCATTGATCCATAGCTGTTTTCCCCTTTATTTTTTTTCCTTCTCGTATAGGGATAATACCTTTTGGTATTCCTTGGGGCAAATCTTCATGGAGAGACCACCTGGTATTGGTATATATAGGTAGTTTTTTATAGATGTCTTTTAACTTCTGCCCAAAAATTCTTTAACCATCAACTCAAGTCAGATGTTTCTCACGGAAAGAATATCCAAAATCATTTTTAAAAAAATACAAAAAGTGATAGGGAGGATTATCTAGCTTTGGTTTTTCATGATTTTTTAAACAAACACACTGGAAGTCATTTCCCTGACAAGACAAGTGGAGAATGGAAAACCATAAAGGAAAACGTCTGGTAAATTAGAACAGAAACAATATCAAAAATAGAAAGTACACTTTTCCAACCAGTAGTGTTCGTACTGTCCTCTCCCAAGAGAAAATGCCGTAGCCTAATGCTAGGAGAAATACATGCCACATGCATAAGAGATGGAACTTGCAAATGCATGATATTCATATTTATAGACGTGAAATGGGGACGGATAGCTGAGGAAAGGCTACTGGTTCTTGTACCTCTTCTCCACTTCCTCCAAACTCTGAATCTCCTTGTAGTATTTGCATATACGATAAACACACCTGCAGGCACATATAATGGCTCATGACATGAAAGCAAATAAATAAATCAAGAATTTTCCAAACCATACATACCAGTAGAGAAGGCATGCTGAAACACAGAGAATCACATTCCTTTGAGCTTTGTAAATCTGCACAGCAAACCTCAATGATAAGCTTATGTAGATTCTAATATAATAAATAATAGCAGTTTGCAACATTCATTCAAATACATCTCCTAACACAGAGCCTCATGAGATGCATATCCCCACTTGAACTGGAAGTTTTCAGAATGATGCATTGCAATAAACCTCCAGTGGTTAATTTGAAAGTTAACTTTATGAGACAAAGTTCTACTTGGGGAAGTAGGTTGGGGGGGGAGTTTTGCATGTTCCTTCCATTTCAAATGAGCATGCAGTTATTTCTTTTAACACTAACTGCATTGACAACAACACTGACCCTGCCTATGGCCCCTATCCCCAACACACACATAGTGGAGAGTCCTAAATGAGAGAGATTGCTGGCTCAATTCTGTTCTTCCAGAAACAGTGGCATGTACGAACCACTTTCAGACTCCCAGGCAATACCTCTTTTTTGCAGTCAATGATAATCAAGCTGTTTGGACATTCATGATGCTAGACATAATAATCTACATCTTCCAAATCATACAATCATTTTACATATGAGAAAGACAAACAACTAAACCGCTTAATCCAAATAACGCCTTTTGTTCTATTCTGATAGCTTGATACATCTTGTAATGGCTCATTTAACTGTTCAAGCGAGGTTGCAATAAATTAACAGTACAAGACTTGTATATACACAAAACTTTGGAGGCAATAACAGAGGTTACGAATAGCATCCAACAAAGCTTCAAGTACTCAATAAACAAAGAGAAATCATCCCACTACTTCATAACCATAACATAAAGCAACACATCCCTGGCCACCCAAAAAAAAAAAATAAGATTCTTAGCAATTTGCCCACCCATTTAAGACAACCTGCACAATCCCAGCTAAAAAAAAATGTAATTTGTCAGGTCCCTAGTCCCTGTTCTATTCATTTTCTCTAATTCCTTCAATGAATTTAACGGTTCCTGGATAAAGTTTATTAACAATCGCAAATCACAGCAAACCCATGAAATGTTTCTTAAACAGAGAGAGGAGAAAGAAGAGGAAGAAGAAGAAATCAGCAATCAGATCAAAACAACTTACAGATTTCTCATAACGATCTCTTTCAGAAGCAGTGCAGCTCTCACCGGCACACATCAATCGATGTTCATTCTTCCAATATATATCTATCCAAAACAAAAACACAACCAAAGCCAAAATTTAGAAAGCCGAAAAGAAAACAAAAGCATTCAAAGAGAAACGAAAAACAAACCCAGGAGCTGAAATCCGGCAAAAGGAACAATAAAGAGAGCCGGCTGGAGTAGGAGTGAGATGAGGGAAACTAATCGGTCCTTTAGTAGCTTAGGCGAGGGTAATGTTAAGAGTGCCGCTATAGCTGCCTCGGCTGCCACCACGTACGTCAGTATCATCCATTGCAACGCCATTTTCCTTTTCCTTGTTGCCCTCTGATTCTTTTTCTTTTTCCTTCGAAGGACCGACGGTAGAGGTTTATTCTGGTTTGCTCAACAAGCAAGGTTTTTTTAAATTATTATTTTCTTTCTTTATATTTTTTATAGATCTTTAAAGCTTGATTTTGTCATTTTCGTTATGGGCCGTTCGATTGGGAATGCTGAGTTAGAGAGAAAACTTAGCAGCCAGTGTTTGCGAAGCTCCGGATCTTAGTTTATTTGTTACGTGATTGTGATTATTTTTTAAAATTAGTTTTTATTTAATTATAAATAATAAATTATAAAGTTTAATTATTAATTAATTAAATATTAAAAAAATTAAAAAATTAATTAAAAGAATTAAAAGAATCTCAGTTAACCCAAGTTAATTCGTTAAATATATAACTGAGTCATGAAAGAAGATTATAAAAAAATTAAAATAAATTATAAAATTAAATTTTCAATCAGTATAATATAAAATGATAAAATAAAAAAATTAATTAAAAAAATTTAAAAAATTTTAAATGGATCGAGTTAACTATTTAAACTTATAGTCCATGTTATAAGGTTAGGATAACTTATAGAAAACATACAAATTATAAAGTTTTATTTCTAATAAATTTAATTTTAAATAATAAAATTAAAAAATATATGTTATTTTGTTCAAAAGGAGGTGAATAATAAATTTATTTTAATTTTTAATTTTTTTAATTTAAAATTCATGATCAATCTAGTATTAAAAAATAAAAAATAAAAAATAAAGGTTGAATTTGTTTTGGTGCTAATTTTCAGGTTAGGATCCTTTTCTCTTGCCTTCGCCATGTTTTGGTTGGTCTCGCTTATAAGTTCATTCCTTCGTTACCATGAGTATTCATCGTCTTCTTAATTTCTTTAATCTTTATTTCTCTTTTAAGTGCATTCTTAATGTTTTCGTTATTTTTTTTCATCTGATGTTTATATTTTATGCCAAGAAATGACGTCATATTGAAGAAAAATCAACATAAAAATTAATGAATATATTAACAAAATTGTTTGAGTAATTTGAGGTCAAATTGATAAGATTTATAGGTTTGATATTTAATTAAAAATGAGTGTGTAAGTTAAGGATTAAATTAAGGTTTTTCCAATATTTAATTTAATGCTATGATGACTATAAGAGTTATGGCATTTTTATTCTTCTTGTATTTGAAAAGAGCTAATTGGTGTTCAAAAAACATTCAAGCTATAGAAATATTTATGTTTATTAGAATAGTGTAATGTTTTTTTTTTTGGCTGTTTAGCTCTTTTGATTTTTTACCTAAAAAACTTAGCGGTAGTTTTTAAAGGTATAAGAGTCTTTTCACATTGTTTATATATTATTTTTAAATTAATTAGAGATAAATAATTCTTTTCCAATATTAATTACATAATAAAATAACTAAAATACTATTAAAACTAAGAAAATTAAGCATGATGATGACGTTAAAGGATGTTTTTGTATTTTATAATAGTTTTTTCATTGTTATAATTTAAGTGAAGATACACTTTGATATTTGACAAAATATAAAAAGCAATAAATAATTAAAATACATAATAAAACTATAAAAATACACTTAAAATAAAATAAAAATTTAAGTCTAGGGTTAATAGGTGTTTTTGGTTTTCCACAATAAATTTTTTATAATTACAAAGTCAACTCAAAAATAATTTTGTATTTGATTAAATAAAAATATAATCACACGTGTATAGTACTTGGAGGTGCGTTAGAGGCGTTCATGTCTTAATCTAAATGGAAAGAAGAGGATTTTCCACTGGGATTTTGATCTTTATTTATTTTTATTATTATTTTATGAAACACAAGAGATTTATTAAAACAACTGTTACAGCTGTTAAAAGCACGGCTTAACGGGGAGAAGAGTAGATAGAAATTCAGAAATCCATATTTATTATAATCACTACAAGCTGAGCAGACATGGCCGCACGCTAGTTTGATTCCTTCATGGAAGCCATGAATATCCTGGCTTGATGTGGTCCACTTCCGGCAGTGCTGCCATTGGATATTCGAAGATGGGTTTTTCACTCTCCAAGCTGAGCTTCTTGCCCTCTTGATATTCGAAGATCACTTCTTATTTCAGATGCTAAAAAATACATAATGTTAGCAATAATGAAGATCTCTATATTTATTTTCTACGTTCCTTTTTTATAATTTTGATGCTTCTTTTGTTAAGCCGAGATCAGCCATTGAAGCCTGCCCAGTTTTGGCATTGTTTGCAGCCCCAGCCGTGACAGGAGTTAGAACTGACTCTTTGATGTAGCCGGAACTGAGATAGTCTGTGATTTTAAGTGGTTAGCTGTAAATTTACAGGACTAGATGATAATTTGACTCAAACATATATTACAAAATTATTTATTTATGAATTAAAAGTTTAAGATGAGATCTAGTTATGCTAAATTAGACTACCTGCGAAACTCAATTATAGTCTTCTTACACAGCAGGTTATTTTGATCTCCTCTCACTCACACACACACACATAGAGAAGAAGAAGCAAAGCAGGTTATTTTGATCTCCTCTCACTCACGCACACACACAAAGGGAAGAAGAAGCAAAGCAAATCAAATATTGTTTTTAAAAAGCCATAAAATCAAGCATTTACAGTTTATTCTATGGGGAAAACTAGATATGGCAGCTTATATATCCGTTCTTTCACAGAAAAGACACAGTAAAAGAATACCTGGAACAAGTATGGCGAGAGATGAAACATCAAGGTGGAGGAGGAGGAGAAGGTGTGGATGAGGGGAATGAAGCCTGGTCCGAGAGAACTCTTAAACTCCGGCCATTCCTTCAGTTTACCTGTTTTCTCGAGTCAGGCTACATTCCCCCACATCCCCACTTTCCTGAAACACTATGCCGTTTCATTTTGAAACTGCACCATCGTTTTTTTTTTATTGCAGAGGAGAAAAAACAAGTTGCGTAACTAGAAGGGAAGTGATGGATCCACTTGGTTTCTGTGGTGTTAAATAGAAGTTCTATTCGTTGGACTGTTGACTTTGGAGCTCTACTCGTGGAAGGTTGGTGCTTTCTTTATCGTTAAGGCTTGCCAAAATTGATTCTTATGTTTAATATTCCATGGAAGGTTCAATTTCCTTCTTTTGTTTTACAAGAATTCCCAGATTAATCTACATAGGTGGATGCATCATGAAGAGCAACTGGATTTTCCATGAACAAATAATGAAGAATAAAAGAACTTGCTGGCCATGGTGGAATCGAAAGAAACGAAAGTTAATCTTGTATAAAATATAACCCACTTTAATAAATTTGATCAACTACAAATAACCAAGCATTTGTGAATGATGTTAAGTGAATCATACTCTTCTTTCATTTTATGAAATACAATATAATATTTTTATTTGAAGATAAAAGATATTATCAAACCAGGTTACTCGTGAACGAGACCCATGAGCTTTTTTTGCATTATTTGCTGGCATCGCTAAGCGTTAATTAAATGATAATGTCATCTGTCATTAGTGAACTAAATGGTTAAGAGATGATAAGTTTGACTATGACCCTTTTGTTTGTGAATTTTTTTTTTGGAAAGTAGTGTTTTGGCAAGTAGATTTCTAAAAATTAAATTATTTTTTTTATATTTAATAGTATCATGAAAAATATATTTTAGTATTTAGTTATTTTATGAAAAATAAACTGAAAAATAATTTATTAATATTTTATTTTAAAAAAATTATTAAAATAATGGGGAATAAATCTTACAAATTAAGAGGTTAAATAAGAATGAAATTAAAAAATATATAATTTTATCTCAAATAAAATAAATAATAATCAAAATAATGAAGATCAAATCGAACAAATAAAAAAAAATAATAATCAAAATAATGAAGATCAAATTGAACAAATAAAAAAAAAGATGATGAAATTAAAATAATTATAATTATAATTTTATAAATTATTTTAAATAACATTCAAAAGAATAAGAATAAAAATTGATAAATAAAAAATTTTAATTAAAAAAATGATAAGAGAAAAGTAAATAACAATCATAAAAATAGGAACCAAAGTTAATATAAAAATCAAATTAAATCAAATTTTAAGGGGTGAAATTTAAAAAAATAAATTCAAAAAAATATATATAGCAATCAAAAGTTTAAAAACCAAATTTGATATAATCAATAAATAATATGATATTTTTAAATTTTCTACAATTTCTAAAAAAAAAATTGTTCAAAATAAAAGAAAAATACTTTTCAAAAAACCAAGAGAATTTTTTTTATTAAAAGTATTTTTTATTAATTTTTTATATAATAAATAAATATAAAAATTAATTTTTAAAAAATCACGGGGTTGAAGTTAAGTTTTTAGGGAATTTGGTGAAGAAGTAAAAGATATTTCCTCAAAGCATAAGCATGTCCATGTCCAAAGGCTTCATCTATGCTGGGTTTGAAGGCTTGTGATTGGGTTGCTAGCTCAGAGATATGGACAGATGTATTGGGTTAGAGCTGCATGAAAACTTCTCTTCATTGGTGTTGCTTCCAGCGTTCAACGAAGAGATATATGGAGGCATCGGTTGGTTATCTATCCTCAGAAGTGAAATCCAGTTGCTCTGTGGCAGATGTCATTGAGACTTTAAGAGTAGAAGCCAGAACTGAGCAGAATTAGGATCAAAATTGTAGCTTAATTGGTCATTCATCATGTTTAATTGGAAATCTCATCCTCAATCACTAATCAAAATTGTAGTTTTACATTCGTTTTTGATTGAAGTGAGGATAATTATAGCGTCTCTCTTGTAATTCTTACCAGATGTCATTGAGACTTTAAGAGTAGAAGCGTCTCTCTTGTAATTCTTACAATTTCTACGAAGAGGAACCACCCTAGATACAAGAGTTGGTAGAGTTTGCTTCTTCTTCTTCTTTTGTTACATTGATGATCATATATGTATAATCTTCCATTTGGTTAGTTTTTAGGAGCTATTTACTTGATTGTTTTGTGTTGTGAGTGTAAATGATTAATATAAAATATTATTGGAATCGTAAATAATAATTTAAGTTTTTGAATTAAAATAATTTTTAATATAGTATTAGAGTTTCCGAATTAAATATTTGAGAGTTTAAATCTTGTTATTTTTATTGTCATAATCTAATTTTTTTTATTTTATTTTATTTTGTAAAAATAATTCAAAAAATAAAATGAATGAAGAATAAATTGAAAATTTAGGAACTTAATTAAATTTAAAATTAGTTTAATTAATTAAATAAGAAGGAAGAAATATTAAAGTTTGGGAATGATTCAGGTTAAAATTGCAAGAAATTAAAATTTAAGGGTCATTTTGTAAATGACGCTAAATTTCAGGGTTCCAATTAAAATTTAACCAGGGGCTGGATTACACAATTTCAGGACTTCAGTGACCAAATGTATAGCCACTGCAGAGTGGAAAACGGCGCCGTGTCATAAAACTGTTTATCGCCTTCTCCGTACAGCTACCCATTATCCTCCACGACGCCCTCTCCGTAGGCCACGATATGGTGGCCAACAGTCCTAACTCTTATCAAAGACAGTAGCGAACGTGCCCCATTATCTTGAGGCATGAACGCACGAACAGAGGCCATCCTCTGGCTTTATAAAAGCCAGAGAAGGCCACGAACAAAAGTTGGGTGTGGGGGTGGGTGGGGTCGAAGGAGAAGAGAACCGCACAGGGAGCACACAACAGGGAGAAAAATAGGAAAAACAGAAGAAAAAGGAAAAACACAGACAAGCGAAAACAGGGAGGCCGAAAACGCGAAAAAACGGTGGACAGAGAAGGAGAACCCATAAAGAACTGAGGACGAATTGGGGAAAAAAGCCAGAAAAGCAGGGAGGGAAGAAAGAAACCAGTAGAGAGAGAGAGAAGGACAAAGGAAAATCAGAGGACGCAAACAGGGGAGAGAGAGAAGGAAGCGAGGGGAAGACCAAGGGCGAACAACACAGGGAAACCGGATGATGAACTGAGAGAACAAAATGAACAAAGACGAACGTGAAGAACAGAAAACAAAACAACGAACTGAGAGAACGAAAAGAAAATAAAAACCACGGAGAACAGAAACAAGAAACAAGGGACAGACAGAGAAAGGCCACGAAACCATAAATCACACAAGGCAAGACATAAACAGAGAGGGAGCACTACCCCGGGTCTTCGTCCTCCAACTGCGTCTGAAGCAGGTCAGTCCCATTTCATCTCTTCCCCCGTTTTTACAATTTAATTCACTTGGCACTGTAGCTTTGATTTAATTAACTCTCTTTGCTGTGCTGCACGCGTCATGCGTGCTCCTCTGCCCAGCCGCATCACTGACGTGGGCCGACCGGGCTGGCCCGGCTGGTACATCCCAGCCCGTACGGGTTGGTCCAGAGCCAGTCTAAAAAAAGCTTGTCTTGGGCCTCAGGTCCAGCTGCCCCAATTCTCTTTATTTTAGTTCCTTTTATTTTAATATTTGACCAAACAATTTTTTTAATATAAAAAAATTTCAAAAAAAATTTGTAGAGGGTTTTTTTTAGGGTATTTCACTATAAATTTGATCTATGAATTTTTACTATGAAATTTGGCATTCGATATATTTATTTTTTCTTTTTAAAATAAAAAATACATTTTGTTTTTTCTTTCTTTCTTTTTAAAATAAAAATAAAAAAGATGTGTATGTTTTGTTTTATATTAATTTTATGGTTGAATAACATTTTTTTCTATATAATATTTACTAACATTATAATTAAAAATATTTGTAATTAAATATTTTTTGATATCAAAATCAGTAATATTATAAATAAACCATCAAATATAAAAACACAACAAACCCTTAATAATTTAAAACAAAATTATTAATGTAATTTATTTCAAATAAAATATTTAAAAGATTAGAATTTTTATTTATTATAATATTAGAAAGCGATTTCTCAAATAAGATAATTAACAAAATTAAATATAAAATAGTGATGATTTATGGAAGTCAAAACCATTCTTGAAATCCAATGTCACTGATTTGCATTAATAGCTTGAAGATTATTTCTGTCGTGAAGAAGCCTTTGAGTGCTTAATTTCATTGTCGGGGATTGCTTTCAAGGGTTTCTTTTCATTTTCTAAATGCTTTGTGTATCTGTCAGAATGTTTGAGTTAGCTGTTGTGTTTCCTTTTAGTGGTGGATCTACAATTAAAAAAAAATAGTAAAAGCATGAAAATAATACTTTTGATGTTTGTGTTTTGTGCTGACTACACCACACAGCAAAGATAAACGCATCTGCTAACCCAGTTGAATTGTTTTTTGTTTTCTCTGCAATAAACAGTTGAATATTAAAGTAGAATTCCATGTGAGGAAGGTGAGTCGAAGGGGCAGGCTCCCCGGAAGGATGAGCTCAAAACTTTTAAACAAATACGACTTCGTATTATTTATAATTTATAATTTATAATTTATTTTTTTTGTTCTAACATGGGATGAAGTTCGAGAGTCAAATTGACCCAAGACTGGAAGAAGGAAGAGAGGATAACTGAAACAGGCATCCTTAATGATCACATGTTTAAATGATAACAGGCATGTTTTTTTTTTTTCTAGGAAAATGCGAACGCCTGAATATTCAAATGGTTGGCACCGTTTATTAGAATTTTAATTCCATCGGACTTTTCGCATTTAAAAGCCTACGCAATGGAACACCATCTGCTTAGCGCAGTCCTTCTGGCCTCCCACGCGCGGCCTGCAAATTCCCTCTTCCGGGTCCCTCGAGACAAAAACCACATGCCAAAAAACCGGGCATCGCCATGGCCAGTTTATTACCGGTGACTTCTTTTTTTTTGTTTTCCTTTCATTTCCTTTTTTATTTTTAAAAAGCTAAGTTTAGCACTTGTTGTTGTTATTGGTGTTTTAGGATTTATCCTTTTAGTTTTTATTTTTTATTTTAATTATTTTTTAAAATTTTATTTGTTTTCAATTTAACTTTTTAATTT